TTGTCTGTGTGAACCATCAACTGAGCGTTCTGTAGTAGGTTGCTCCAGTGACTTATGGCGTTTATAACTGCTTGCATCTCTAGCAGATTATCTGACATTTGCTCTCTTGATTGCTCCATAGACCTGACGCTGTCCTGCCGGTAAGGTGGGCTCCCCAACCTTGTAGTGACGCGTCTACGTACAGATGTGTTTTCGATTCCGGCTCTACTAAGGAGACGCCTGCGCAAACATTCAATCTCTTGGTCTTGATGATGAAATTCAACTGTAGTCTGAGACGCTGTGGATTTGGATCCACTTGTATACCGTCGTCGAGGAAAATTCGCTGCGAAGTCCTTGACGATGTAGGTGCACAACCAGGGTTGACTGGCATCGTTGAACTTATGTAAAAAATCGCCTGACTGCCGTGCCCTCGTCCTTACTAGACAGGGGAGGTCTCTAACCTCAAGAGGGCAGTCCAATCATGAAGGTTCAGATTAGCTGGACTGTAAGGAGGCTTGCTCGATCACTGATATAATGTTGTCACTTGCAATCTAAGTCTTGAACTGTGAACTATGCTCGACCTCTGTGTAGGGCGTTGTCCATCGCGGTCCAATCAGAATAAGGCATTTTTATTTTGTAGAGTACCCGCGCTGTGATGTCACCGGTGTAGCAGGAAAAGGAACCTTGTATAATATAGTGCCGTGGTTGATATTAGAACAATCGTCGGTCTTCACCGTAGCTTCCCGAAGTTACCCAAGTGACCACATGTTTCGAGGGTTGATGGTAAACGCGCGAAACCTCCGGCCCGAAATACCTCGCTCTGTAATATTAATGCTGGGTAGGTTATTTTCCAGGCTGTCGTGAAAGTAACTTCAGTCTTGAAGATAATTCCGACTTCCTTATATAAGGTTCAATAACCTTGCAAGTTGTCAGCTTGTAGACTGTTAAAGCTGAACTTGTTGTACATATTTCTTCTCAGGAAATCGTTGACGATTATGAGTTTTACTACCAGCTGTAACAAGGCTGCTGTTCAATTTTGTTATTGAATTGTCTGCAGATCTGCGTAATGGTCACGCATGTAGATAATCGTGATCGTAGTAGGTAGTCGGCTTGAAGATCCTTAATTAGGCTCTTCATCTGTTGATAAATTAATACAGCGACGCTCTGTGTTGTAAATAGCCTGTGCAATTGTCTTCGCTGTAGGGCTTGTAGGCGACATATGGCATACAGTTGATAGACAACTCATGCGATGTCTTGAACGGACTGACGAGTGGCTATATATGACGAAGTGGCTAGTATATGGAGACCTTGGAGGAGACTTCCTCGGCGTAACGCCGGGATTTCTTGCTAAGATCTCGAAGTAACCCTTCTAGATCTTCTGGGTGAAGTAGACTTGGAGCCACTTAGCCTTTCGCGACCTTTGCGAAAGTATCGAGTCAGAGTCCGATCAATATATGAGCGCTTGCTTCGCGAACGACCTCTGTGTTCTACAGGGTGTAGGCTCGGCGAAAGCGCTCCTTCTCCGCGATGTCCCTCGCAACTAGTGAGGCTCTAGCTCCTTGGCGGAGGCGGCCTGGGACTTCCTTAGAGAAGTGTCTAGAGTCCGTTCAATATATGAGCGCTTGCTTCGCGAACGACCTCTGTGTTCTACAGGGTGTGGGTTCAGCGAAGCGCCCCAGCAGAAGTCTATATATGAGCGCTTGCTTCGCGAACAGACCTCTGTGTTCTACAGGGTGTGGGCTTGGCGAAGCGCTCCCGCAACTCAATATATGAGCGCTTGCTTCGCTAACGACCTGTGTGTTCTACAGGGTGTAGGCTCGGCGAAGCGTTCCTTCTCCGCGATGTCCCTTGCAACTAGTGAGGCTCTAGCTCCTTCGCGGAGGCGGCCTGGGACTTCCTTAGCGAAGTGTTCGCTACAGGCTGGGTTGCCCTTCGCGGAGGCGCGTTTGTGGGCTCTGAGGCCCTGTATGACTTAATATGGGGTGGGCTCTGAGGCCTGTGGCTCTGAGGCCTCTGTAAGCCGTAACGGTCCTCCATCAGTCTCATGATTTGGTTGACCAGGTCTTCTGGGATGGTCTGCGCTGGCGTTGAGGGTGTCCTCTCTGTGATAGTGACGGGACCCTCAGTTATAATCTCGGGCGTCAGCGTAGGCATCTCTGGTTGCATGTTGATCTGCGCTGAAGTGACGGTAGCCGATACTGGTCACTTCTTATGACATACATCTGGAATGATAATCGAAATGTCATCATCATATAAACATAATTCTGAATATCAGAAGCAAATTTTTTTTTTGTAGCCTTCGTGGATTTCCCTTTGACGAGGCTGTAGACCTGGGGGTTCAGAGCATACGTTGAGATGACGTGGAAGCTCTTCTAGTCTTAGACTGTGATGAAGGAACGTCCTGGGAAGCAGGTCGCTTCTAGGATATAGCGGACTGCGTCCCACGCTTATCCCCCGAAGGTAATTCAGGATATATCTGACTTCGATCTATTAGCCATGACTGAAGATTGTTTCCGAGATTTATCTGCCTTCCGTCTCAAAACGGAACATAAATATTTATCAAAGGCAGAAATTGGTAAATTAATACATAATTTTCAACGAGAAACAATAGAACATGGAGTAATGCAACTAGGGCATTTTAAATGTGGATCGGTAGCAGAGTAACGTAATTTACAAACAGTGCAGATTTTTATTAACGCAAACTGCTGAGCAAACACGGCGAACCGTGAATCAAGCAGCAGAAACATGAATAATTATCAATGCATGTTGAATAATGATACTAATTACACCTCTATAGATGAATATAAGAGGTAACAAACTAAATATAAATAAAGGATATAGTGTGCAGGGAGACGCAGGTGCTCTCACGTCTTGCTCACTGGGCGAAGAAGGAGAGAGTGAGGCACATGGGTTCAGGTGGCGCCCTCGTTCCCGCGCTTGTGGAAGGGAGGTAACTCGTGGTGGGTACTAATGAGTGATTTTTTATTGAAGGGAACTTCAATTGGGAGATACAAGTGTTCCACTAGGTTCGCAAGAAGAAGAAGACAAGCAATAAGCATGAGTCAGGATAAGGAAAAATAACATGATATCAAGAAATCCAGTCTCCAGACATATTCTGTCATATTCTGAATGACAATGGAGCGCAAGCATGCAGTGCCGAGGACCTATTTTGTCCTGGAATGACAATGGAGAGCAAGCATGCGGTGCCAGGGACCTATTCTGTCCTGGAATGACAATGGAGAGCAAGCATGCAGTGCTGGGGACCTATTCTGTCCTGGAATGACAATGGAGAGCAAGCATGCAGTGTCTGGGGACCTATTCTGTCCTGGAATGACAATGGAGAGCAAGCATGGGGTACTGGGGACCTATTCTGTCCTGGAATGACAATGGGGTACTGGAGACCTATTCTGTCCTGGAAGCAATGGAGAGTAAGCTGGGGGGACCTATTCTGTCCTGGAATGACAATGGAGAGCAAGCATGGGGTACTGGAGACCTATTCTGTCCTGGAATGACAATGGAGAGCAAGCATGCAGTGTTGTGGACCTATTCTGTCCTGGAATGACAATGGAGAGCAAGCATGGGGTACTGGGGACCTATTCTGTCCTGGAATGACAATGGAGAGCAAGCATGCAGTGTCGGGGACCTATTCTGTCCTGGAATGACAATGGAGAGCAAGCATGGGGTACTGGAGACCTATTCTGTCCTGGAATGACAATGGAGAGCAAGCATGCAGTGTTGTGGACCTTTTCTGTCCTGGAATGACAATGGAGAGCAAGCATGGGGTGCTGGGGACCTATTCTGTCCTGGAATGACAATGGAGAGCAAGCCTATTCTGTCCTGGAATGACAATGGGCATGGGGTACTTGGGACCTATTCTGTCCTGGAATGACAATGGAGAGCAAGCATGCAGTGTACTGGACCTATTCTGTCCTGGAATGACAATGGAGAGCAAGCATGGGGTAATGAGACCTATTCTGTCCTGGAATGAATGACAATGGAGAGCAAGCATGGGGTGCTGGGGACCTATTCTGTCCTGGAATGACAATGGAGAGCAAGCATGCAGTGCTGGAGACCTATTCTGTCCTGGAATGACAATGGAGAGCAAGCATGGGGTGCTGGGGACCTATTCTGTCCTGGAATGACAATGGAGAGCAAGCATGGGGTACTGGGGACCTATTCTGTCCTGGACAATGGAGAGCAAGCATGCAGTGTTGGGGACCTTTTCTGTCCTGGAATGACAATGGAGAGCAAGCATTCTGTCCTGGAATGACAATGGAGAGCAAGCATGCAGTGTCTGGGGACCTATTCTGTCCTGGAATGACAATGGAGAGCAAGCATGGGTGCTGGGGACCTATTCTGTCCTGGAATGACAATGGAGAGCAAGCATGGGGTACTTGGGACCTATTCTGTCCTGGAATGACAATGGAGAGCAAGCATGCAGTGCTGGGACCTATTCTGTCCTGGAATGACAATGGAGAGCAAGCATGGAGTGCTGGGGACCTATTCTGTCCTGGAATGACAATGGAGAGCAAGCATGCAGGTACTGGGACCTATTCTGTCCTGGAATGACAATGGAGAGCAAGCATGCAGCAAGGGACCTATTCTGTCCTGGAATGACAATACTGGGGTACTGGGACCTATTCTGTCCTGGAATGACAATGGAGAGCAAGCATGGGGTACTGGGGACCTATTCTGTCCTGGAATGACAATGGAGAGCAAGCATTCTGTCCTGAATGACAATGGAGAGCAAGCATGCAGTGTCGGGGACCTATTCTGTCCTGGAATGACAATGGAGAGCAAGCATGGTGTACTGGGGACCTATTCTGTCCTGGAATAACAATGGAGAGCAAGCATGCAGTGTCGGGGACCTATTCTGTCCTGGAATGACAATGGAGAGCAAGCATGCAGTGTCGGGGACCTATTCTGTCCTGGAATGACAATGGAGAGCAAGCATGGGGTGCTGGAGACCTATTCTGGAATCACCACATCTGAAACTGTACTAATAGTGTGTTATCACCTACCTTGGTTATCCAACACCGGGGATGTTGTAGTGACTGGGGATGATGGGGGCGTTGCGGGGGATGATGGGGTGTGAGCCTGAAACAAACATCACAGGTAAACAATAGCCCATGCAGATGCAGAATGGTTGCAGCCATCAATAGAAGTATCATATACACATGCAGACATTGATGAAGATCTGCAGTCATAGTTGAAACCATGGGTAATTCTATATACATATACATCCTACATGCATTCCATATGCTCAGCATCAATACAAAGGGGGCACACAGAAAACAAGAGATAATGGTGTATTTTCAAATTCCAAAAGTGCTTTTCAGGAATGAAGCATTTCATACCCACACTGAGTGTTACCTGGACATGTTCTCATTGAATCTATGTGAACTTAAACACTTGTTGCCTTCAGGCCTGTATTTTGGATAGCTTTTGACATCACCTTCAATCCTGCACATCCAATTCTTTAACGGTCATTGTGTATTTTCAGTTTCATAACAGTCAGTCAGTGTGACATCAGCATATACAAGATGTTGTTCAGCTGTTATTTACATTGTCAACATAGTCAAATCTATTGGTGATTGTTGGCTTATGTTCATGTTTCACACAGGAGTGAGTGAGTGAGTGAGTTTAGTTTTACACCGCACTCAGCAATATTCCAGCTATATGGCGGCGGTCTGTAAGTAATAAAGTCTGGACCAGACAATCCAGTGATCAACAACATGATCATCGATCTGCACAATTGACTACCCGATCCCGTTAGTCGCCTCTTACAACAAGCATGGGTTACTGAAGATCAATATTCTAACCCGGACCTTCACTGGTGTTTCACACAGGAAAAGCTGTCTACTGTCCACCAAGCTGTCTACTGTCCATCAAGCTGTCTACTGTCTACCAAGCTGTCTACTGTCCACCAAGCTGTCTACTGTCTACCAAGCAGTCTACTGCCTACCAAGCTGTCTACCAAGCTGTCTATTGTCTACCTAGCTGTCTACTGTCTACCAAGCTGTCTACTGTCTACCTAGCTGTCTACTGTCTACTGTCAAGTTGTATACTGTCCACCAAGCTGTCTACTGTCTACCAAGCTGTATACTGTCTACCTAGCTGTCTACTGTCCACCTAGCTGTCTACTGTCTACCTAGCTGTCTACTGTCCACCAAGTTGTCTACTGTCTACCTAGCTGTCTACTGTCTACCTAACTGTCTACTGTCTACTGTCCACCTAGCTGTCTACTGTCTACCAAGCTTGTCTACTGTCCACCAAGTTGTATACTGTCTACCTAGCTGTCTACTGTCTACCAAGCTGTCTACTGTCTACCAAGCTGTCTACTGTCCACCAAGCTGTCTACTGTCTACCTAGCTGTCTACCAAGTTGTCTACTGTCCACCAAGTTGTATACTGTCTACCTAGCTGTCTACTGTCTACCAAGCTGTCTACTGTCTACCAAGCTGTCTACTGTCCACCAAGCTGTCTACTGTCTACCTAGCTGTCTACTGTCCACCTAGCTGTCTACTGTCCACCAAGCTGTCTACTGTCTACCAAGCTGTCTACTGTCTACCAAGCTGTCTACTGTCCACCAAGCTGTCTACTGTCTACTGTCTACCTAGCTGTCTATTGTCTACCTAGCTGTCTACTGTCCACCAAGTTGTATACTGTCCATCAAGCTGTCCACTGTCTACCAAGCTGTCTACTGTCTACCTAGCTGTCTACTGTCCACCAAGCTGTCTACTGTCTACCTAGCTGTCTACTGTCTACCAAGCTGTCTATTGTCTACCTAGCTGTCTACTGTCCACCAAGTTGTATACTGTCCAACAAGCTGTCTACTGTCTACCAAGCTGTCTACTGTCTACCAAGCTGTCTACTGTCCACCAAGCTGTCTACTGTCTAGCAAGCTGTCTACCTAGATGTCTACCATCTACCTAAATGTCTACTGTCTACCTAGCTGTCTGTCTACAAAGACGTCTACTGTCTACCAAACTGTCTACTGTCTACCTACATGTGTTAGGGCGGTGATGAAGTTCCTGTTCAGGTGAATGGCTTCATACAATGCCAGCAGTATGGAGTCGTTAGCCCTGCAAGTAAACACCACTGGCCAATAAAAACACTACACATATAATACGAGAAAAACGGATGGAAAATACAATTAAATAATCGGAAAGTTGGTATGGAAATGTTTTGCCAGAAAGTATTTGTTATTAAGTATCTGCCATTAAGCAGACATTTTGATAAAATTATTACAGTTTTCTACCTCATTATTTCTGTTTTCTTTTCCTCTGCCACAAACATATTGCCAACCTGAAAAGTAACACAGAGACACATTGAAATGATTCTAATCTTCAGTCTTGGTAAGTTGAACATTTGTTAGACATAATTAACACCATTTAATCACACAGGGACACAAACTTCACTCTTTCAGTGTACTATTGTGTCTGTAGTGTAAATCCATAAAAATATACATTTACATAATTCCCTAAATTTCCAACATGCAACAAATGATGACAGACATCATGCAGAGCCATTATGTCAGACAATAAGACTGTAACACAGTGATGTCATAGTTCGATCATGCTGATGAACCTGGTGACACTACTGAGATTTGGACGTGCTGTAAGAATCATGTTTCATGTAAAATGCCAATACATTCCCTTCAGTTAGACATATGTACATAACACTGCATCCCTGACAATTTGACTCTGATCTACAATTCTGTGTTGCACCACGTCATGTTGGCTAAAGACGACATGATTCACTCATGCTTCATGTAAGTCGGAGATGTGTAGCAACCATGAACCATACAAGCAGACTCCCTAAAACAACATTCTTTCATTGTCATAATAAGTATACAAAGGTGTATATATATTTCTAAAAAACATGAACAGTAGATGCAATGGATCTCTGGTGTTCCAACAGTGGCCGCAGTTACTCACCATATTAGCAAAGGCTGAAAACCACCCTGACTGGGGCTCGGACAACTGTACTTGGTAGTTTCTGTGCACAAACTCAACTGTGTCAGTACAAACCAACAGGTAACACATAACTCTTTAGTAATTATACATCATACATAATGTTTTCAGTCTGAGACATTATGAACAATGTATGACATTGTAATGTCAATAAGTGCAATTACACGTATTTACATATTTCATAGTTACTTGGTTGGGCTAGAGCGGGAAATGGAAAGGTATAATAACATCAGACAAATCATCCCGCAGACAAGATACAGCTAGATTACTTTGTGATGATTACACGGAAAGCTGTTTCCTTACCTGTTGAAGTCTGAGAGTAGTGAAGACACTATCTGAGCATACCCCTGTAATGTGGAACAATGAAATATGTCATGCTCTCATACATACACACCTAGACTGACCAGAAGCAGTCTTCATTGATGGCCAAGAAAACATTATAGAGAAAGCAATATTAATTCTCTTCCATGGTTGAAGTACATTTCACATAACCAATGTATCAGAGGATGAAATATTTTGGCAATGTAAGTAAGATAAGATGGGTGATGAGGGTTGCCTAACCCAAACAACTCTTCATAGTGGGAAGTGGGTAAATGTGCTAATTTTAGCGGGGAAATCCCCAGCAGGTAAGTGGCCATGTGGGGATATCTGTCCACGCTAACATGACACAGGTGCATTTATTAGCCGGCTGCTGGAGTACCATGTTCAGTTGAATTTCTTGAATCAGAAGCCAAAAAACGACCATTTTGAAACTAATTTCATCGGCATTCCTACGAAGGTACTTACCGTTAATGCTAATTCATCATCTAAAATCGACAACTTGACAATGTATGGGTTGGCAGACTGCAAAACAATGAATATTTCCATCAATACACAAATTACATTAGTTTGTTCATTTATTGCAGGAGTGACTGAATGATAAAAAAACCCATATTATTACCTTTACACATAATGATTCAAGCTGTCTTATAGTTTTAATATTACTATGGTGATAAATCCTAACCAACAAACCTAAACAAACTAATTTAAAATAGAGGTGAAATGCTTAAGTTCTACATGAAAATGTGTCCAGAGAAAATAATGTGGTCTCTACAGATAGGATGTGAAGAGATAATCAGCGTATTTTGTTTGAATCAGCCAAAAGCTGGTTCATGACAGAGTTGTTTCAATAACATTATGATGCTTGCAGATAGAAGCTGCAGACATTGTTGCCATGGTTACCTCATGTTTCCTGTACTGAACCAGTAGTGTGAGGACAAGGATGGCGTCATGGCCCAGCAACATACGTAACAGGGGATTCCCCAGAATCTGGAAAGGAGTGGAATGAACACTCAGGATGATTAACAGAAGAAACTGCTTGTCTAAGAACAACTTGTATTTGACTGCATAGCCATGAAAACACATCTGGGTAAAAAATCAACAACATAATACAACAACTGTATTCTGTCAGAAATAGTATTGCTCTTCTTTGTGAAGAATGTTTAAATAATTTAATGCTCAAAAGTTCAGTTCTCCATGATAACTTTAAAATGAGTGATTGAGTTGAGTTTGAGGCTACTGGAACTAAAGAATCACAACCATGATGACCAGCAAATATCATTATCCTCTGTGGATAAGAGTGCCAGAGTGTGGAATTGCAAAGGGAAGCAACTCTGCACAACCTACACCCTCATTTGAAGTGACAACCAATCATAAAAGGCATAACATATCAAGAGGTAGTACATTTGGTTTGGATACAAGAGTGACATACAGTGGTTAGTAAAATATGCTTAAAAAACACAGAGCCAAGACAATGAAACATGTCTTGTGCTATCCAAAATTGGAGGAATCAAAAAACAAGATGCAAGTCTTGTGCCACCAAAGACTGTGCCTACCTGGATGATGGACTCGAACACGCTGTTGATGAGGATGTACTCCAGCATTGTGTTCTGGCTGATATTGTCCGTGGCCTGGAACAGACAGGTCAGGGTTTACAAGGGATTAGCAGCTCTACTGTACCGATAAGGATGCTGACAGTGCAACAATAGAAAGCCTGGGTCCTAAAGGTCTTGAATTGCCCTCATCTCGCTGTAGGTACAGCTATCTCAAAATTGGGTACTTTCTCCTGGACATTTGTTAAGTGGGATAACTCTCTATTTTGGTTGTCAAATACCACTGCCTAAGATGGGATTTTATGAGCCCTTCAAAACTGATGTCACAAACAATCATTACAATTAAGCTCCCAATACAAGCTTCCACAAAACAGTTTCTTCAGTAACCATGGTAACAAATCTCACCGTAATGAGTACGAGGAGGAACTTGAGCACCAGCTGTTTGACACTGGCTGGATAGTCTCCAGTCAGGAACCGGTTCAGGTTTTCAATCAAAGACTATAATAAACACAAAGCAAAGAATATGAGTGAACAAGCAGCGCTGACAATGTGTTCTCAAGGTGCAACTTGCAGTAAGAACTTGTAGCATACGAATGTAGTAACTATAAAGTTTGAAATGACTATGGGTTTTTTAAAGTTTTTAAGTTGCATACAACTCAAATGTGGGTTTACATCTGGATTCTCAGGTGAAACACCTTTCAGTTTCTTCTCTGGTCAGATCAGTTGTGTCTCCGACATGATGTCAACACAAACAAAGACAACACTCTGAGGTGGACATAGATCTAAGCAATTTGAGCGGTCAAGCGGAAAAGAAGATGATTCGTGTTTTCTTTACATATTCACCTGCATGACAGATTCTGCTGAATCAAAACCAATCAGGAGATTGATGACATCAAATCCATAGTTACCAAGACTTTTCCGAAATATACCTCGTATCAGAGCGCAGAGTGTCTGCAAACACAAGAATATAGTTAGGCTGGATAACATGGATAGGCTGGATCTCATCTACACACAATAACAGAAAGGTTTACATCCACAAGAGGTTTCAGGTAGTGGGCAATTATCTCAACCTTCGCATATAGGTGCATAAAAGTGTTTATTGTTAATAATTATCAAGATATAAGTTCTAACTTACTGAAAATGGATTTGTGTCAACAGAAGTCTGTGTTACCAGTTTACTAGTTCTGGACCATAGTAGGATCACCAGCTGATTCAGATGAAAGTATTCAATAACACAGTCGGCAGTATTCCACCTATATGAAGGTGGCATGCATATAATCCAGTATGAGTACTGATCCAGATCATCATGTCTTGGACACAGAGAGTAGCCACATAGTCTCATCTCCAACAATATCATATTGTCACACAGAGCGCAGTAGGGCTGCACAATATAACTGGTCTATTTACATGAAAATGATACTTGTCAGGAAAGGTCAACCAATATCAATAAAATTTCTTACAACTGTGAAAATACAAGGGTACAGTGATATTGTTGATGTTCAGCTTTAACGATACCCGACATCAAGCGATCACGCATGTTATTCATATGAAGCAAATGGGGGTATTTTCCGTTGTTGTGAGTAATGTTACCGGCGGAATACTGATATCGGGAAATAGGCTTACCATACATATTATTTCCAACAAAATCTTATTTATAATAATTTTCTGATAACATAAAAAATGAAAATATAAAGGAAAAAGGCACGGGCATGTTACGGCTGGAAAAGAATGCCATAGCTTTTGCTTCTTTCGTGGTTTATCTGGACACTATAAATGTAAACTTGCATTTTCACATAAATAACGATTTACTGGTAATGAACAAGTTTTAACCCCATGTTCAGGTTTCATGTCCTGGAAACACAATATCCATCAAACGATTCGGGCCTCACAGTGATATTTATTAAACAACAAGCAGTGTTTTGATTCTTTAAAAAGAACACTCGGAAATTAATTTCCGTTTTTAAATTGTTCCTTTCCTTGTTTCATTTATGGATAAAAAGTCCTTTCAATAATCAAGGATTTATTTTGTTGTGTTTGCTTTAAAAGTAAAGCATATTGCATTAACTCGATTATATGCTTTGTTAAAAAACTCCTTTCATACAATACCCACCCCTACTGTGCAGTCCCTACATCAACTTACATGTAACGCATTGACAACTCGGATTAGATTGTCCTGGGCTAGCGCCTCCACACATTGGTAGAACAGCATGTTCAGGTTGTCCTGGAAACACAATATCCATCTCACAGTGATATACACAACAAGCAGTGTCATTCTTCAAGATGGATAGACTCATACTGAACCAGGAAATATGCTATACACATCCATATACTACATCCATGTATGTCCCTGTGCAGAGTGTTTTGAAACAAGGTGGTGATGTGGTCCAACAGCACGTCTTTGCTCTCATAGTATTTGAATCTAAGTACCTCTGAAATGTTTACATCATAACATATTCCAATGACAAAATGGACAAGTGATTTAGAAAACTTTGCAATAACCCAACCAACTAACTACACGGGTGGCAAATATAGCCAAGAAAGGCCATACTATCACAGACAAATCTGTCTGATATAAAAATACAAGAGCAATCTGCATAAATTGACTGATAGCAACACTGAACATTGAAAAGCTAACATCTGTATATTAACTTGTGACAATGTACATGATGGACTTTCAGCCATCTGTAACCATGCTAATCGGCACCATACATTTCATATTTGAACTACATTTCTTCAACATGCTGGATAAACCATCAGTTTCAAGATTTATGATGTTTGTTCACCATGGACAACACATCACAGATAATACAACATGTAAGAAGCATTCTATGTCAACATGTTAACTACGTTACAATAAGTTCCCTAAAGACATGTACATGTAGCTTTGATTGGTTGCACTTTAAGCTTTCTAAATGTCGGACCATAGACAAACCTCCCACTGGAATCTGTCTATAACAGACTGCTATCTTCACCAGACCTCATTCACTATCATGTAGTGAATTAGTATCAGTAAGTGTGAAGATCACAACTTGGTGTATTCAGTCACTATTGAAGGTATCAGATCAATTTCGGCCTACAAATGGCAGAAGTACCATGCAATGTATGGATAACTAAGCCCAGATCGCTACGCCAGCCTCAGGCTATTGATGTTGGAAGTTGATTCTGAACATGGAATTCATTTGTCCTTCTCCACGTGTATTTCCTCGAGTACAACCGAAGTAACCACAGCATGTATAGGTCATGTACATATCAACTATAACATGGTTGTAGTCAGAGAAACCACTGGAGTCTGTTTACACTACTTCATTAATCAGCTGATATTATTTCTCCAACATAGATCACTGACTTTATTGGAGAAGGTGACCCTTCTAAGTTGAATGATCACATGTTCCTTGGCTGACTGAGTTTGGTTTTACGCCGCTTTTCGCAATATTCCAGCAATATCACGGCAGGGGACACCAGAAATGGGCTTCACACATTGTACCCATGTGGGGATTCGAACCTGGGTCTTCGGCATGATGACATGTTCCTTGGCCATAAGTAGGTTTGTCACCACTCTCATGATCATGCAGACACTGAAACCATGGTAACAGCAGCCTACCTTCAGACTGAGCAGACCCTCGCCACTCAGCTTCTCAATCTCATTTTCAATGTAGCTGGTGTTCACCTGAAGATGAAATTACAACAGAACTAAACATTCACAGGAATTAATTATGTTAATAGTGATACAAGAAGGTGTATCTATTTTCATTGGTTGGTTGTTTGGTTCATCTTTGTTCAACGCAGCAGTCAAGAGTTTTCCAGCTATATGGCAGCGGTCTGTAAATAATTGAGTCAGGACCAGTCAATCCAGTGATCAACAGCATGATCATCGATCTACGAAATGGGATACGATGACATGTGTCAACCAAGTCAGCGAGTCTGACCACAAGATGTCATTAGTCACTTCCAACAGCAAGTATGGGTTACTGAAGATCAATTTTAACCCGGATCTTCACGGTTGTATGTATTTTCAGACTTGGCCCCAGTTAGTATGAATCTTGGATGAGGGTATGAAGAAAGGAGTTTCAACTTGATACCATTTCGTGGACATTTCTAAAACATCTCTACTGGGTAAGAATATGGGTGGTAAATTAAAATCGTTGTTATAATGTGGATATAAAGTTTATATATACTATAACAATTCTTTTAACAATTACATGTTTATTGTTTGTAATGTGTATTCACCACATAGTTTAGCGGGCGAACTTGAGAAGACACACTATTTTGGGTGGCTGACACTTTCAAACATACTTCTATTCAGGCCCTACTTGAATATTTTATAGGGCTGTAACGATTCACTCGCATATTCGGTGAATCGAACCGTAGCCCTTCATGAATTCAATTCGTTATTCGTGGTCACCAGAACCGAATATTAACGAATATTTACGATTTTTATAAGGGAGCATGTTTTACTTGAACCCTTGTGTACTTTTGGAAAGTGAGATATGCAAGGATGGAATACGTACTAGCATTGCAGTAGCGCAAGTCATGTTAGTTTGCGAAGGCCGCACATGGTGCTGTCGACTATAACTATTACATGCCAAATTTGAGTGTCATGAGATCACTGGTTATTGGTGTGACAAATCAAAACTGTCAACAAGGACGTTCCATATTGTGCATCAATCACTTAACTACAATATTGTATTCGTGAATAATTATTCGTATTCATTACCCAATATTCATGATACGTATCATATTCGCCACATAGTGTATTCGTTGCAGCCCTAATATTTTATAATAATTCAAACAAGGTTACACAGGGAGCTTTGAGGGAAGTTTCCTTCATCACACCACTTTATCATAGCACTATATGATGTATCAAAGAATTGTCCCTTCCCTTAACCTGTCAAAACAGAAGAGAATAAAATACTATCATCCTTCTCTCTCATGATTTCTTAATCTTTTTATGACTATGAGACAATATTCTACATCATTACCAAACCCACCAAAAAAGCAATAAGCATACTTAAAACCATTTTGACATTATCCAACTTGGTAACTTGGTTTATGCTGTATCAGAGTGTTTTGATGATAACAAATCTAGCTGGATGTTAAGTTTTTGATTAACATCAAGCAACAGTCAAACATACTGCAAGTATAAACTTAAGTTAAGTCTACCTTTAGAAGAAAAAGCTCATCCCAGAAATTGGCATTTCCTCGTGATGGATCTTCTCCCTGACAATGATCAAAATTATACATATAAGTACAATGAATAACAAGCATAGTAAACATATCTGTCAAGTATATATATAATACAACTATAAATAGAATAAAAAGCGGATGATGATACAAGGCGACATCAGGCTTTCAAGGTCTTGAGAATGACATTTTCATGGTGAAAAACGGCACAAGAAACCTTCAAATAGCATTGTTACCTTTTAATGCTGTGATCCTACCGTGACATCATCAGAGTTTTACCTTGTCTTACAAAAGTGGGTTTCCAGGGGACACCCATTAATAAATTGTTACGGGCTGGTAATATGAGGGTCTTGTAAAGTACTGACATGGTGTTGTGTAGTGTATGTTCAGAGAATTACTCCAGAGCCTGGAATGAATCAGTAATCATGTGGACAGTGGTCATGAGAGATAGACACAGATAACTTCTCTTGATGCACTGTAGGTACGCTCTTGGTATATGGTGTATCTTTACGGATGCGGCATTTTGAGTTTTCTGAGTACATTCTCCACAATTGTGCACACTTAACGCACACTTGTGAGTTGTACAAAACCCTGCATGATCATAAACATTGTGATAACGCATATAACTTCTCACTGATAACGTTGATGCAAACTCCTTTACCGTTTTCATAATATTCCCAAAACATAAGAAAGCATATTACAGCATATCAGTACACACCTAGTAATAATAAAACCTAGGTAACAGACTCTAACCAGGTATACTCTGTGATATTTTTCAATTAGTTTTGCTCCACCATCACCAGGATTATCAGCTGGTTTTACATGTTATAGGTGCATTAAGTTGCCGTATCTTTTGACTATCCAGACATGCTAATAGAAATGACCATTCTGAAAGACATTAGCTGTAGTCTTTCACAATTCAATTAAAATTTTCATGCAGTTATTGAGAAAAAATACTTGCAGTTTTTCAGAAATAATAGGAGTTGCCTGTTGTTGTACTTGTCAGCAATGGCTGGTGGTAGACACCATTTATCAAATTCAGCCAGTCAACAGCTTATTTGAAACATAAGTTTGGTTAAAAATACAGGAGAAAACACTGAGTCTGTTTTGATTTACACTGGTCAACACATTAACTATGGCCTGTGTTTAACTCTGTTTGTGTGTTGATAATAACCACAAAATTGGTTGACTATGATGCCACAGATACTAAAATAAAACAATATGTACCTGGAAGAAAGCTTCATATATCTGAACAATCTTTTCCTTTAGCGCCATCTTGGAGTGAGATCCTTTTCGGAGCAGGAGGGCGTGTCCCTTTTCTTTGCTAGGGGTTGTGTCTTGACTCATGCTGCTGTCATAACTGTCTGTATCTGATATTACAGTCAAATCTGTTCACATTACTCATCTTCACTGAAGAATATTGTTACAAGGCAGTTTTAAGAAATAACGCATCACTTTAATGTATACATTCATGAATTACTTTGAGAAACTTTTGATTATTCGGTGAATCTTACTTGATAGGATGAAAATAACATTGTCAGTTTCGGAAATATTGCAGAAGACAGTATCCTAAATTTCCTTTAAAGTACTGACTTCCTTTCTTTTCGCAGTTACACTCAACATGGTCAAATTCATGTGAATTTCGTTCCATGCTCCCTAAAACGTTGTTTCAATGCATAACTGACTAAATTAGTACATAGTCGACTGACACCAAGGGTGTGTACATGTGCCAAACTAAATTACGCATGAACCGATCAAAGTATTTAGTATCACTCTAGAGGAAGACAGTGGTGTTAAATATAGACACCGTTCATCTTTTCCATAAATGCAATTGAAAATAAACAACGGCATTAATGAACGAAACATAAAAAACACTGTTTATCAATGCCTTACACGTAACATTAATACCCACCATGGTCCTTCCTAGTAGACGAATACTTCCGGTAGTTGAGCAGTAAACATACATATTTTAAATTATTAATAAATCGAATAAGAACTAAACAGTCGGTGTCATTAAATGTAAAAACAATTTACTGCTGAATATTATTCTGATCCAATTCGTTTTACAAATATTTTGGTGCTGAATTTCTCGTTGCTATGACGATTACAATTAAAAGGGGAGGTAACTCATGAAACTACTAAACATGAACTGGGCCTTATTAATGATGTTTATACCCTTTTTTAGCTAGTCCAGTAATTAACAGAACATGACGTGACATCTCATCAGTATGTATGTATATTTTTGCTTTTGTTTACATAATGCATAATGTATAAGTATGTACTGTATTTGTGGTTGCGTGACCGAGATAGCAAACTGTCAAGAGATTCATAAATAATTACTGGAAATAGGGATGTGAGATCGATGAGACACTGCTAATAGTTCCACGCTACTCACATAATGGTGGTAAATCACCGGATAATAGGAAGCTCGCGTGTGTGATCGGTCTTTGATAATTAACGATTCCCCAACTCAGCTGCGTGCATAAGAATTTAAGAATTTCAGAAGGCACTTTTAACGCTCTGGATCTATTTAGTATTAGCTCAGTAAATAATTTGATACAGATTAGGTTTACATTGGTTTTTAATAAACTGTTGCCAGGCATTATCCCTTTTAATGTGTATAATTTACAAGAAAGACGTTTTCATAAACGTAAATTATTCATTGTAATTTATCCGTCAAGTCATCTGTCTACGTGAGAAAAAAGACTTCAAGATAAACTTATATATAGGTAATATTGTTTCTATATTCCCATCTTATAGTACTGTATGTATGATTTAGCCTTGTGGTTTTGGTTTTCTCCACTGATCCCAGTAATGTTTTGATAAAAACAAAATGATGCACATTCTTGGTGAAACAAATATCTAAATTTTATCTATCAACTTAAATAACTCAGATTCTACATCACTGTGAGTTGTTATCTTTATATATTGTAGAGAATGATGTATCTTTGACATTGATCAAGTAATGGTGTTCTGACAGAACATTCATATTTCTTCATAGTTTCTAATCGCTAGTCCAACCAGCAGAAGAGGGGACAGGCGAAATAAATAGAAAAATGAAGAAAAAAACCCGTAAAATGATCTCACAATGTGTAACATATTTCAGTACTTTTTAAAGTTAAAAACACTTGGTATCATTCTTCAAGCATATGATATTTATCATGTTTAGCGAGCCACTTTACTTTGGAAATATATTGAAAAAAGGTCAAGATGACCTGGGTTATACTAGTATTATAAGTATGCCATAGAAGTATTTGTTTTTTTATCTGATATGGGCATAATTTTCAACAGCTCTGGGAAAATTGAAATATGAAAAGTTATTATTATTTCTTTTATAAATAAATGTCAAGATCTGGTGGGAGATGGGAAACTATAATATAATACAGACAGCCTGACAGGAGGGTCAAAGTTTTGTATGTTTTTGCTCCAAATGAAAGGTATCTATCAAGAAGAGACCAGGAGAGTACAAATCTTGCAGTGTCTATCAATAAATTATTCTTTGTGACTTTAATTGTGTCTTGGAAAAAAAATCACATCTTATTTTTATTCTGTAAAACGACCGACACTTCCTAGCACTCCCTGAGTTCTTTGAGGGAGCGTGCATTCTATTCACTTTACGCAGAGCCAGGGTCTGACTCCTTAATATTTCATCTGAATCTTGCCTTTGACTTTTGTGCTTAAAACTTTGCAGTGGCTCCTGCATTTTGATCTTAAGGAGTGTTTCTTGTTTGGCTGAAGTTGAAGGATTAACTGAATTCAGTATAGCCAATTCACTAAGGAGATTGTGTTACTTTCTTTTAGAGATCATAACAAGTGTATCTGGCAGTGCTACAATGGCGATGAAGATTTCAAGATCAGATGTGACTGCAGAGCATGCGAAGTTCACGCAGGACAGTCACATCCTGAGCGACATCGCACAGCAGACACAGGATGCTGGGATGGGGAAGCTGACAGATGAGGAGCTGGTGGAGAAGTTGGAAACCCTCCTCCTGGAGAGGATAAAGAAGGGAGATAAATCTGCTTACTTTCAACTCGCACTCTTCTATTTTGAACAGGTGAGATCATCTGTAATGTGATACCTTGTTCAAGATACTGGACATACCACAATGCCCCTTGGTGTTGCTGTGTATTTGAGAATCACTGAGTGATATGTTTTAGCTTTTGATGTTGTAATAAAAAACAAATCACTATCGAAGGGAAACAAAACTCAAACTTTTAGTAATCCAGCCAGTACCATTTTAATCATCCAATGTAATAACCAAATGCCTGTTGCCATCAACTTCGCTACAAACTGGCTTTTATTATTATACCTCTGACGGGATACTCTACCGTTCTTAATGTGCATGATAATGATGTTCATCAACAAATTTACATTTCAAGTCTTGTATACTTATATCAGCAACAAAAACATATGTCAATTTGGCCATATATCATTATCATATATCTTTTGCTTCTCATTGTTCTATCCTCAGAGGGGCAGTGGGGTAGCCTAGTGGTTAAAGCGTTGGCTCGTCACACCGAAGGCCCGGGCTCGATTCCCCACATGGGTTCAATATGTGAAGCCCATTTTCTGGTGTCCCCCACCGTGATATTGCAGGAATTTTGCTAGAAATGGCATAAAACCATACTCACTCACTCACTCTATCCTCAGATAGGTGTTGCTTCACACAGTTTGGCATGGCCATGTGCTTGTGGTTAACACAAGTAAAACTTGTCAAACTTATAGTCCCTAATAAGCAAATTTGTATTCCATGAAGAAACAATGCATATTTTGATGCTTTCAAATTTGGAGTTTTGTTTCCTTTCAAGATGACCTTTCTTCCTTTCAACTGAAGATTATGTGATTCTGCTTAAGATCTAAAAGCAAACAATATATCAGTTCAGAAAATGTAAATACTTGAATATAGTCCTTTTAATTTTTCTACCAGACCGATTGAATTGTCTTGCAATGGTATGGCATCAACTTCCAGACTTCACAATAACAAGAGAAAACTACTTTCAGGATATGTATGACAAAGCAAGAGTGTATTTTGAGAGATCAAAAGACTTCAACTACCAGTCCCTGTATCAGCTGGGTGTCATGCTGTATGATGGAATCGGCTGTGAACAGGACACAGTAAGTCTTCCCTTTTCACATTGGTTCATAAATGTTTTATTTGTTGAATGTTTAACGCTGCACGCTGAAATATTCCAGCTGTATATTAATAATTGAGTTTGGATCAGATGATTCACTATCTGACAGTATGAACATGGACCCATGCAGTCAGGACACTATGACACATTATCAGATTAGCAATGATTTTTCTGGTAACAAGTGGCGAGTGGACATCATCAGATCTGCAAAAATTAATGTGTAGGACATTTTGATTGACAGTCTGTCAGTGTGTCTGACCAAGCCACTGAGTCTGACCAGCCGGTCCACCCAACCAATTGCGTATATCGATGCTCATGCTGTTGATCACTGGATTGTCTGGTCCACTGAGTCTGACAAGCCAGTCGATTAGTTTCCTAGTACAACCATCCAATTGTGTAAATCGATGCTCATGCTGTTAATCACTGGATTGTCTGGCCCACTGAGTTTGACAAGCCAGTCGATTAGTGTCCTAGTACAACCATCGAAATTGCATATATCGATGCTCATGCTGTTAATCACTGGATTGTCTGGTCCACTGAGTCTGACAAACCAGTTGATTAGTGTCCTAGTACAACCATTGCATATATCCAATTGTCATATACTGAGTCTGACAAACCAGTCGATTAGTGTCCTAGTACAACCATCCAATTGCATGCTGTTGATCACTGGATTGTCTGGTCCACTGAGTCTGACAAGCCAGTCGATTAGTGTCCTAGTACAACCATCCAATCGCATATATCCATGCTCATGCTGTTGATCACTGGATTGTCTGGTCCACTGAGTCCGACAAGCCAGTAGATTAGTGTCCTAGTACAACCATCCAATTGCATATGTCGATGCTCATGCTGTTAATCACTGGATTTTCTGGTCCACTGAGTCTGACAAGCCAGTCGATTAGTGTCCTTGAGTACAACCATCCAATTGTGTATGTCTGCTCATGCTGTTGATCACTGGATTGTCTGGTCCACTGAGTCTGACAAGCCAGTAGATTAGTGTCCTAGTACATCCATCCAATTTTGTAGATCGATGCTCATGCTGTTGATCACTGGATTGTCTTGTCTAGACTTGATTACTTACAGACCACTGCAATTTTGCTGGAATATTGCTGAGTGTGGCGTTAAACAGCAATCAAACAAACAAACAAACAAACATCATGGTTGCTTCCAACTGGTGTCTATTCTAAGCCATGCAGACTCACAGAGTTCTTAAGACATTACAGCAATGATGTAGTGGAAGGTGATATGTGTTGATTTGCTGTCTGTCATCTGCACATCTGAAAAAACAAATCATTATCATCTATTTTACTGTATAGTCTTGAACAGTTGAATATCCTTCTTTGCACGTGCATGTATTGTTAGTGTGTGTCTCTGACTGCCATCATTGTCATGTGTCTGATAGACTCTAGGTGTTGAGTACCTGATGCACATAGCGACATCCACAGTGCGGCAAGCCAAGCATCTGAAGCACGCTGCAGAGTACAACATCGGCCGTGCCTACTTCCAGGGGTACGGAGTCCGGCGACAGTCTGATGAGGAAGCAGAGAGGTAGGGACTTCACCATCAAATATGAAAGATGCAAGCAAATGTTTGTGGGTTTTTTCCTTTTTTTTTGGTTTGTCTATAAGCCTCACAGGTCAACCTGTTGTCTGGAATACATTATGTGAAGAGTTGAGGCCCTTTGTCCCAGAACCTATGACTGGGTTTTAATCCTGGTTCGCCCTCATTATGTTGTGAGGTTTGTTAGCAACATACTCATGAGTTTCTCTGAAGTGGTAAACAATATCAGATCCGCATCACTTCAGACAGCCCTCCTACATGAGGCTGAACTTGGAATACTAATGAACATTTTATTTTATTATGTGTTACTTAGATTGTACTGGTATTTAGATGAAAGATTTTAAACATCTTTAGGAACAAATATTACGATGTGAGATAGCACTGTTATCATCCTGACAGGTGGTGGCTGCTGGCTGCTGATGATGGCAACCCTGCCGCCAGTGTCAAGGCACAGTCTGTCCTGGGCATGTTCTACTCCCGGGAGGACACCGTAGACCTCAAGAAGGCCTTCTTCTGGCACTCTGAGGCTTGTGGGAATGGCAGTCTGGAATCTCAAGGTGGTGCAGTTGTAAATATATTGATTCCCATATGAGTTATAGAGACACCCAGGTTGTTATGACTGGTATATGGAGATGATATTTTTGAAACTGAAAATTGTTTGCAGTTGTGAAATTGAAACATTTTGATAAATATAGAGTTTAAAATACACATCAATTGTTTCTTCTGCAGTGTCAGTGAAATATGAATATGGGATGTAGATACACCCCTTGTTTCACTTTTGTAGCTCGGAAAAAAGGAAATGGTATTTATTGATGGCTTGATAACAACATTATAAATGTTCTATGTTTAATCTTGTCTGATCAATTCATCTGCTGCGGCTCCTACAGGTGCACTAGGTGTGATGTATGAACATGGCGTTGGTGTCAAGTACCATCAGGATTCCGCCTACATCTGCTTAAAGGAGGCGTCTGACCGAGGCAACGTCTACGCAATGGGCAACCTCATCTCCCACTACTACCGCCGTAAACTCTACACTAAAGCAGCTGACCTCTCATCCAAGTATGACATACAAGATCTACTAAACTATAAACACAACTGTTAGACCATGGAAATAGGTCTTTAATTCCGATCTTGTGTTTTAAATATGGGAAAAGTAACATTTCACTGTCTGAAAACAACTGGTATGTTTCAGTACTCCTCTATGCTTGTCTGGTAATTCACATAAATATGTGAAACAATTCTGCATGATGTATACTTTTATATATATAGTGCTGTTGCATTGTTTCTATGTAATCAGAGTTAATTTCTCATGCAATAGTTTTACCTTATTATTGCTGAAGTTACATTGACCAAATATTAATGCCCAATTTTCAGAGTCGCCATGTTGGAAGATATACAACTTATCGCACAAGAGACGGAATGTCTCCCAGCTTTCATTGCTAAGGGCATTGCCTTGGCCAGTTTCTACCATGGTCGTTGTCTCCATGAGGGGCTCGGTGTCAAACAGAACAAACAACTAGCTCAGCAATACTACTCCAGGGTAAGACAGCATGGGTTTAAACATTGTAGTGCTACACCAATATACCTCCTTACTGGCCTCTGTATGATGGATGTCACAGTGCTACTGTTGCTGTGTTGAATGTGATTGCATATGGCCTTATGTGTAATGCTGTGGTGAACTTATGCACTGTTGGGTGGTTCAAGTCAGTACCACATGGAAGACATAAGACAAATGACTTTGTTCAAAAAGTGTCTGTTTACACCCAACAGTGAATGGGTACTTGGTAGCATGAGATGGTGACGTATACAGATCCATTTACTGGAGTAATAATGTTGCGCTTTCAACAGGTTTCATGCTGTGGAATATGGTGCAGTAAAATGTGGATATTTTCATTAATGGCCTTAGTTACTTGTCTTAGAAAATGGAAAGCCCCCATCACCAGATTTGGAATTAACGAAAGTATCGATGATTGAATCCAAATATGTGTATAGTAAATTTTGTGAAAAAAATAATTGACACTTAGAAATATGGAAAGGGAAATATGGGGGGACATGACACCGCCAGGTCTAACAACCATTCTTAGCGATTTCTTTTGTGTGTCAGTCAATTTTTCAATGTTGAATTTTTCACGTTGAGGTATCATACTCTATAGGACTGGATGCCATGGTGTTCATGAGGCCAACATAACTTTGTAACCTGCATTCTGGTTGGTCTATTAGACTTAGCAGCTTAGTAAATTAAATTGGCTGTTTTGAAAATCAAGGGTGGGTAATTTGAGATTGTAAGAACCATGGGATTGGGTAAAGATGAGCTCTGGAAATAGAGGTTATCTGAACCGGGTCACAATGAACTGAATATAATTCTGTATGCTTGCTGTATTTCAGTCGCACTTCAGTTTGACCCTGATATATGTGCTCGACTCCATTCAACAGGCTTCATGCTGTGGAATATGGTGTACTAAAATGTGGATATTTATTTTTTCATAAAATTTACTATACACATATTTTGATTCAATAATCGATAATTTCGTTAATTCCAAATCTGGTGATGGGAGCTTTCCTTTTTCTAAGACAAGTAACTATGGCCATTAATGTAATTGAAACGTTGAAATATGGAAAGGGAAATATGGGGTGACATGCCACCGCCAGGTCTAACAACCATGAACACATCCTTGCCATTTCTTAGTGATTTCTTTTGTGTGTCAGTCAGTTTTTCAATGTTGAATTTTTCACGTTGACGTACCATACTCCATAGGACTGGATGCCATGGTGTTCATGAGGTCAACATAACTTTGTAACTTGCATTCTGGTTGGTCTGTCAGCTTAATTTGATTAAATTGGCTGTTAAAAATCAAGGGTGGGTAATTTGAGATTGTAAGAACCATGGGATTGGGTTTACGTAAAGATGAGCTCTGGAAATAGAGGTTATCAGAACCGGGTCACAAAGAACTGAATTTAATTCTGTATGCTTTCTGTATTTCAGTCGTACCAGTTTGACCCTGATATATGTGCTCGACTCCAGAACGTGACACAACACGGTGTCATATAGGCCTGCTTCACTTCAACACCATCATGCTGTCAGCTGTGATATTATCTGAGTTGTCTCCCCTTGATCTACCTTTTATATCGCTGCCTTTATCTTGTTAGTTCAAGATGTGTCACATAAACATATCCCATGCTTTGTAATTGATAACTGGATTAAGTTAGTAATGTATGAAAACCATTACTTTATGTCAATAATGAATAAATTTAAACATGATTTTCCATGAAAAAGAAGACTTTTCTGGAATGTCTCCTCGAGTCACTGTCCTGTTTCTCTGTATATGGAATTTCAGTCATTATGTATATGGAGTATTTATCTCCTTATTTGAGATATAATCGATGTACCTTGTAATAAGGATATTCTGCATCTCCTACAGAAGTCAGAATCGTGTATTCTTCTTTAGTCCAGTGAGAACAGCTATTATGTGCCATCTATAACAGTAAAATCTACTGAAAGGGATGCCGAGAGCAAAGCTCAGGATAGTGAACTAACCAAGCTTTTGGCACAGGCAGCAAGTACAGTATTATTATCATTGTATATACCTATTGATGTTTCTGCTGTAACCATGATCGATGATTAAAGTACCATGGCCCATCACCTGTGACACGAAGCAAACCAAATAGTTCCCTTACATTAATGATGTTCACACAGTCTTTCATGAGATGCCTCACTGCTGGGAACCAACCTCTTCCATCATCTTAATGCTGTGTTTAACCGTTTGTGCTTGCAAATTTTTGTTGATGTATCATTGAAGTATTGTTTATTAACATACTTTGGTTTAAATGTTATTTTCATTTACAAAACAATGGCTCGCTGACATATAGATCACTTTTATATATTTACCTGCCGACGCTACGTTTTGCAATGCCTACAATTCAGAAGCAAAATCCTGAGTACAGCGACTGACAAGTTAGCCCAGTATTAGTGACTTCTGTCTAGAGATTATCATATACACTATTTATTACTTGTTATTAATATTATTATGTAATAAATATAGACTTGTGTTAACTGTGATAGTGATTCCATGTGCCTTCTGATGTGAATGCTTCAACCTTGTCTTTACCAACATGTTTATATGTGGCTCAGTCCTTTTCTGAAAACACAAATAAATCCTATTTACGAATTTGAGTGTTTGTAGTTGTGTTACTTAGAAAGTTGTCTCCGACACTGGAAACGTTTGACTTGTCATTTATTATATTCACTCTATGCCTGGATAGACTACATACCTGTCAACTCTCACGCATTTGGCGTGAGTCTCACGCTTTATTGACAAATGTCACGCTCTCACGCCTCCAAATAATAATCTCACGCATATCTGGTAGCCAAAAATAATTTCAAAATTAATACGCATTTTCGTTCGTTTTTGCGTAAAGTTGAACATTGAAAGAACGCCTGAATGAACGAAGTACTAAAACGATGTTTATGCGAATGATTCGGCTTATTATTATTTATTAGCATGCATCTTTTAGTGTCAAAATAATGCCACCAGAAGGCTCCAAATGCTCCTGAAAATCACTAAACTTCATTTTCGGGGCGGGGGCTTCGCCCCCAGAGACCCCCCACCAGGGCGTCGCCCTCGACATGACCCCGGCTTATTTTTTTCAGTCTCACTCCAAACCATCTTTAGGGGTTGACAGCTCTGTCTCCCTCGTTCTGACGTGTTCAGTGACGTTATTTACATGACGTCATCACATTTTGTGTATCGGTGACGTAGAAGGTAAACATGATGTTCAGTGATGGTGTAAACTAGAATCGTTGATTGCATTTTAATCAGTAATTCTTTCGATATCATCCATAAGCTACACATGAAGTTCTATTATCAACAATGTCTTTCTACGATAAAGATAGAAAGGTAAGACTGCGCTTGAGTTTGGAGCCAAAAGAACGATTTCCAGAGAAACTTTTTGACGTGGCAAACGACAACTTCCTGATCAAGTGGGGATTCAGCGGCGAATCTGTTGTTGTGGATCCCGAGGAATTCGAAGCTAATGTGCTGAGGTGCTACCCTGGATTTGTGCAAATTCCATCATTTGCTAATCTAAGAAGACTTTTCAGACAATATGCTTTCGATTGGAAGATTAACGACGATGAAACGTTTGAGTTTTCTCACGACTTCTTTGTGCGTAGTCACCCACAGCTTTTGGAGGAGATTGTGACGAGACGTAAATCTTTCTCCCATCGATTGTATGACCCACAAACCGAACGTCCAAAAACCTCAAGACTACAACTGACATCTACCCCATTGAATAAACGAAAAACATCCCTGAGAAGATCTACTCTTGAAGCAAAGGCTAGGAATATCTATCGGTATCCTGAAGAAAGTGACATCTCTCTGAGATCGACAGAGGATGAGCTTCACGAACCACATGCACCATCATTCCTCGCATCAGGTACGGGCGGCATTCCGACTAGGACCTCGGAGTACCGAGAAAGACCAAAGCTTGATCCAGCCGTTTTGGACGTGTATGCACGAAATGAACTGACAGAAGACGAAATACTCCAGCTTTTGAAGCGCCGTGATACTATTCTTGGTCGACTTGAGCGCCCCGATCAGCCGATGTGCCCGGGATGGGGATGTGAGTGGATGTACATGTTCTGGGATGTAGACGATAGTGAGCCTGGAGCGTGGACATATCAAGGTGTGACATATAGCGGGGACAGTTTGAGTTGTGACATTATATGTGAAGGAGGGACGGGTAATGGTCTACACGAAATGGTACCACTACAAACTCTCGACCAGTGCCAAGCCACCCAGACACACACAATAACTGATAATGCTAGCTATGGATCAGGGTCAGGTGCTATCATGTCCAAACCCACGTCTGGGATGACCTACCCATGCTGTTCCTGTAGCTGTCACATGCAGGACCAGAATGCCATCTAGAGAACCAGTTTTCCTAGACACGTATCACATATCGTAACATGGAACTATGGATGCCTTTGATGTGCTGGAACATCCAAAGAAAACACTGTCATTAATGCATTTATACAAGAACATCCATATGTTGAAATACATGAAAGACTGACAATTACCTCATGTATAGGAGCTGTGTTACACCCATACTACAACCTACACACGATAGAATGCAGGTGTTAATCCGCTACTCTATATCTTATATGGAAGACATAATTGAATATATTTCAGTTGTTTAAATTTATCTATCGGCATCATGTCACAGAGCATGGCGATGTCCTGGAGGGTGATCTATGGTCACTGATACCACCCTAAAGTATATTCTCTATGTCTACCCAAGTTTGTGATGAAGCTTTTAAGACATTTACAGTTTTGTCAGCTGTTGGTGACAGTATGAAGGTATTATGCAGAGCATATAAGTTTCGGTTGCTTCATAGATGTTAATAAAATTACTATAAATCCTGGACCATTTGAATTTTCATTTATATATGTGTCCTGTTTGAGGTCACATCAAGTACAAAGTATTAATCCGATTGGTAGCATACCCGTGAAGATCTGGGTTAGAATTGATCTTCAGTAACCCATGCTTGTCGTTAGAGGCGACTAACGGGATCTGGTGGTCAGGCTCGCTGACTGGGTTGACATGTCGTGGTATCCCATGTGCGTAGTTCGATGTTCATGCTGTTGATCATTGGATTGCCTGGTCCAGATCCGATTATATACAGACCGCCGCCATATAGCTGGAATATTGCTGAGTGCAGCGTAAAACTAAACTCACTCTCTCACCGATTGGTAGCAGCTTTTTATAAACAGCGAGAACAGTAATCCCAGGCAAAGGCATGTCTTTTCAGGAAACCTTTCATTGTAGGTTCGAATCCAGTTCACTCCGATAATGTTCAAGGTTTGTCTGCACCGTCCCCGCCGTAATTGTGGGTTTAACAAAAGTGGTAAAGTAAACCAATGATATCTGTATAGACCCGGTCTGTAAATAATCCAATCTGGATAAGACAATCCAGTGATTGACATCTCTATAATCGATCCACCTCCTGGCCGTTATCCGCCTCTTACAACAAACATGTGTTTGCTGGATATAAGTGCAAGAAAAGTTCCCGTGATTAAATCGGTGAAAAACGTTCAGGTTTGCGATATATGATAGAATGTAATCTTTTCCTATATATATCGACATATCGTTTGAGGCTGCTCGTAGGATGTTGGTAATGTTTAAAGAACCACTAAACTTTGTTTTTTGTTACTCTTTTAACCATTACATATGAAAGATTTGTGGTTAGTCTTATGCGGAACACCAAATTTATTCTTTAAAAACTTGTGGTTAATTAATACCGAGCGATTAAAAGTGGCCAAAAAGTCGCCTGCTTCCCTCTCGCCCGCCAACGAAACCACAGACAGGTTACGTAACTCTGTCGCCAGAGCACTGCAGTGACGTCATATGAGGAACGATTTTCAGTTAGTTGTATAGAAAATGTGTAGCACGCTCATCATTTTGAGGATTTCTCGACATCAACGACGACATGCCGAATCGTTGCTTTGTCGTCAATTGCTCCTAGGGGTCGGGCGATGGTGTCCCCATGCACAGATTTCCACAGGACCCCGCAGTTCGTGCTAAATGGGTTATGTTTGTGAGTGCGAAGCGAGCGTTGTGGAAGCCTGAAACGATATCTTACATTTGTGTTCAGATCGCTTCACGGAAGTTAAAGAATCAAAACTACTTACTAGTTGTAGTAAAATATGCATATGATTGATGACCATAAAGATTTTCTATGACACAACTTGTAACATAACGATTTCTTCCTCGGAAGTGAGGTTGTGGTCGAAGTAACAATAATATTGTAAGTAGTATTATATTGACACCCACCTCGCTGCCACGAGAGAAATTGTTATGATATACGCTGTCATGCAAAAACTCCTATTATTACATCAATAAAATACATATTTTACTACCAGTAGAAAGTAGTTTTGATTTTGTAACCTCGGTGAAAACAAACCTAAATACCATTTATCCCTCAGATCTGGTGGATGTTCCCGACAGGGCGCCGCCATTTTTAAAAATAAAAAATCTGTTAGAATTAATGAGATTATAGTTTGTTTTCACAAGTTAGAAAATCAAGACTACTTTCTACTCGTTGTTAAATATGTATTGGAATCATAACCAAACGGATTTTGCATGACACAACTTATAACATAACGATTTCTTCCACGGAAGCGAGGTGGGGTCAGGAGTCACAATACTGCGCGATAAATTTCTTGCTACATTCCCATGGTTAATGTCCACTCACCAGTATGTAGATACTAGTCAATGTGCGTCTTTATATTTGGTCTTATAATCCTAATTAGTTAATTATCACACTTGTATGCATTTTGAAACTAAATAAAACTCTCTCTCTCTCTCTCTCTCTCTCTCTCTCTCACACACATACGTATGTATACGATATATGTAAATGTCGGTATGAATCAATATTTAGTATTAGTTAACGGCATACCACTACCTCGTATGTTAGGTTTTGTTTAAGAACCACTAAACTTTGTTTTGTTACTCTTTTAACCATTACATATGAGAAGATTTGTGGTTAGTCTTATGCGGAACACCAAATTTATTCTTTAAAAACTTGGTGGTTAATTAATACCGAGCGATTAAAAGTGGCCAAAAAGTCGCTGCTGCTTCCCTCTCGCCCCTTCCAAGCAAGAGCCACAGACAGGTTACGTAACTCTGTCGCCAAGAGCACTGCAGTGACGTCATATGAGGAACGATTTTCAGTTGGTTGTATAGAAAATGTATGGCACGCTCATCATTTTGATGATTTCTCGACATCAAGCGACGACATGCCGAATCGTTGCTTTGTCGTCAATTGCTCTCCTGGAAGTCGGAGGCGATGGGTGTCCCCATGCACAGATTTCCACAGGACCCACGGTTCGTACTAAATGGGTTATGTTTGTGAGAAGTGCAGAAGCGAGCGTTGTGGAAGCCTGAAACGATATCTTACTTGTGTTCCAGATCGCTTCACGGAAGTTAAAGAATCAAAACTACTTACCAGTTGCCAGTAAAAATATGCATATGATTGATGACCATAAAGATTTTCATGACACAACTTGTAACATAACGATTTCTTCCTCGGAAGGAGTGAGGTTGTGGTCGAAAGTAACAATAATGTAAGTAGCATTATGTTGGCGCCCACCTGGCTGCCACGAGAAATTGTTATGTTATACCTTTGTCATGCAAAATCCTATTGGCCATCAATAAAATATTTAGCTTACTACCAGTAGAAAAGCGGTTTTGATTTATAACTCGGTGAAACAAACCTAAATCACCATTTATCCTCAGACTGGCGGATGTTTCCCAGGCAATAGAATCACCGCGTATTTTAAAACAAAAAAATCTGTTAGAATTAATGAGATTATATAGTTTGTTTTCATCAAGTTAGAAGAAAATCAAGACTACTTTCTACTCGTAGTTAAATATGTATTGGAATCATAGCCAAACAGTTTTGCATGCACAACTTATAACATAGCGATTTCTTCCCGGAAAAGGGAATTGGGGGGCGAAGTCACAATACTGCGCGATAAATTTCTTGCTACATTCCATGGTTTAATGTCCATCACCCAGTATGTAATGGATACCTAGTCAATCGTGCATGTTTATATTTGGTCTTATAATCCTAATTGTAGTTTATTGTCATGCTTGTCATACATGCGAAACTAAATAAAAGCAGACGATCTGCTGATACTTATAGTGAATTTACCGAAGCTGATTCTGTTGGATAACACGACAAATGATAAAAAACAAAGAATGCAAATATTAAAATTAAAACAGATTAAGTTATATAGGGAACAATATCAGGCCATTGCAGCGTTTTGAGGAATGCGTATCCTATCTTAATATCAATGATAATAATTTTAAATATTTGTTTTTAACCTGGTTTACTTCACTGAGATTTCCATAATCTTTCGACCTATTAGTAGTTGTATGAAGATTCATCTCAAAATTACTTCTCTGAGAGAGACATCCTGGCGAAGAAAAGGCATAATGTCCGCGCTTTCATTTAAAAGAAACAATTGTTTGATGAATTTAGCCAATATTTATGGGCAATCAATCGTATATTGCCAGTTGAAATATCCTTTGAAGAAGGACGTTGACACCGACACGGCAAGAGTGTATTCAGTATATGGTGTGGAAATCTACATGCCACATAAACACTACCTTTTGACGAAATCCGCTGTGTAAGATAGAAGGGCACCTCGGTCGTTCACACATTTAAATTTCGTGCTACAAAAATGTCCATTAGGAGAACTAGTATGTGTATCACTGACCACGACTATCATACTCGCATCACATACACCAGAATCGAATAAGATAAAATCTTGTTGGCTTCATTTTGTGCCGCTAATAAACACGGATGTATATATTTTGTACCAGATATAGTTTACGTTGTATTGCAAAGAGGGATTTAGGTATGTTTGTCACTAAACCAGGGTCAACATAAACTTTAAACATCAGTTATCGATCTAGTCAGACGGCATATTTAAATTACCAAATAGAAATAGGATAGGGACTAAAAAAAAGTTTGAGTCGTCACGAGCCTCTCCTCCATTATTTATAGACTGCTGGTAAAGCTGGAATATTACTGTAGTATTTGTTAAAAAACAAAAAGCGAATAATTTTTGTTGACATAAACACAAGAAGGGGATCTCTCAATAATCATTCATTACATTCAGGTGACGACACGGGCTGTGGATGTTGAATGTTTTTACCCACTTTGCCTAAAGTGGCATTGACTGATGTCACAGAACAGGGAATGTCCCACTGAACTCAAAACAGTAAAACCTATAAAGGGATGTGTGTCGCATTCTATTCGACTTCAAAGTGAGCGTTGATGAGGAGGGGCCTGTTATCCCTTTGGTATCCAGGGATGAACCTGTTCTCAATTTGCATTGTATTTGATTCTTTAAAAGTCTTATGGTCCCAGAAACTCGATTCGTTCTAAATTGGTTTCAGCTGTTAGATAACATATTATCGAAATGTTAATCTGATTAGTATTTGTCTTTCCCCAAAATTTCTTTTTATTATTAAAAGATATTTCACTCATGATTTTGTTCCAACTATCATATATATGACATTGTTCATGCGGCCATACTGATCGCGAACGTCAATGAAAACAGCAAATAAATCAGTGAGCCTAAGAATTTTCAACAATAATTTGTGGCGAACAACGAGGAGAGTTCTATGGATATACAACTTCTTTAATATGATATGAGCGACGTTTCGGTGTAGCTACTAACACCGTTATCAAGCAAATGATGTACAATACTAGATGCAAGGTATATTTATATACATGGTAAAGTTGAACAGTAAGTGATGATGTTTACACAATTAATGAGGTAGATGTACAAGGTGGTGGATGTTTACACAAGAGGCCAATAGTTACACAAACATAGTAAGCTATGGGGGATTAAGGGAGGAAGCCAGTGATATGACAGACAGGACAATAATAGGATTAAGATTGCTTGGTGATGAGTTGGTTGTAGGCAGTGGGGATGTTATATCCTTGGTCTCTGTTCATGGCCGGTTGGAGTCTCTTGATGTGAATGGCTTCCAGTAGCTTTCTGATCTTGTAGTGGGTGTGATTACTGGTGAGTACATTGATGCTGTTCCATAGGATGTTGTGGTCTGGGTGAGCTTGGGTGTGGTCAGAGATGGCGGATTTAGAGTCTTTCTTCTTCACAGAGGCTTGATGTTCTTTGATTCTTACAGGAAGGGGTCTTGAGGTTTCGCCGATGTACGAGTCTCCACAGTCACACTTTATGTGGTTAACTGTGCCTGAAGGGTCATCTTTAGTTGTGGGGGTTTGGTCTGCCATCACCAAGCAATCTTAATCCTATTATTCTCCTGTCTGTCATATCACTGGCTTCCTCCCTTAATCCCCCATAGCTTACTATGTTTGTGTAACTATTGGCCTCTTGTGTAAACATCCACCACCTTGTACATCTACCTCATTAATTGTGTAAACATCATCACTTACTGTTCAACTTTACCATGTATATAAATATACCTTGCATCTAGTATCGTACGCTCCTCGTTGTTCATCACACCAACTTCTAAATGCCACTTAAACAAATAATTTGTGGCCACTTGAATGTAATAGTAATAATGTGTTTATTAAGCGCCTAATATCCACCCTAGAGATGCTCAGTGGCGCTGTGACAATATTGGGGGGAAGGAAATAGTTCATATAACTTTACAGAAAGGCAGCAGTGAATAGATGGGTCTTTAGCAGAGATTAAAAGTTTCTTTCGATGAAGTGTTCCTGATTTCCTTTGGAAGACAGTTCCACAGTTTAGGGCTGGCACAGGAGAAGGCTCGGTCAGACAGTTGGTTTGGAGATCTGTGTTGAGTGAGGAGAGAGTGAGAGGAGGATCGGAGATTTCGCTGAGGTACATACACGGAGACGAGATGTTTGAGGTAGTGAGGACAGTTATCGTTGTAGAGGCAGTCATGAGTCAGAAGGAGGATTTTTCATCTGTTCATTTCAACATAGAAAAACATGAAGGAGAAGTTTCGCGAGTTACCGATATCGTAAAACAGACAGTATTTCTGGTTGAGGTATGGCCGCCCACGCTGACGTGTATCCCGACAACCAGGGACAATAGGGTTGGCTAGAGGAGGGCGGGGTCATTGGATGGGTTACGGGGAAATCAGATTACTTAGTGTTATCTCAGGTTTTATAGTCCAGTCGGTGTCATTAGTCTTACCCCTATCAGCAGTTTTATTGGACACATGTAAAACAAAACTTCAGCCTTGAAAATGTTCTATGGGAATTAGAAAACCTAGACAACCCGTCCCTTCATGCCCGTAGCCAAGCTTTCTGATGTTTTAAGGAATCTCCGAGCCCAGTTTCACCAAGCGATGTTTGCACGATCGTAACCTCTATGCTTTAGTATGGCCCAAAGACAAACGCAGCGCAACCATCACACCGTGAGCATCATATTATAATAAAACAATAATGAACTGGAAACCACATCGAAATTAAAGGCATAACTTGACGTCAACAACAGTATGCCGTGACGTCATTTCCATTGACCCATCACTGGACGTCGCTTAAAACAATCGAGTCTGCATCACACCAACCACTGTTCGGGCCGACTGACAAATACATTATCCAATAGCGGTCACAGTGTCATCTGATGTTTTCGTGGCAATTAATCCATCATCAAAAAGAGGTCCTGACATCTCAGAAATCACATATGTTCAATCGTTGTATCTGAAATATCAGGACACGTTTTGGGCAGCACTGACTGGTGCTCGCCATATGAATGAGCTGTTAGCCAATAACTGGGTTGCCCTCACACACTACTATTATTAATAACATTAAATAGTCAAGAGAAATAGCAAATGCATCAGTTGTAGTGATACAGTTGTTGTCACATGGAGGTACATGTGATTTGCTCGTCAACCATTGATTTAACAATTATGATTGACGCTCGTAAACCGAGATAGCGAGCCATCGCATGACTCAGTAAATTCACCATACGCTCAATGTAATAATAACGATGATGAGAATATTTATAACGCGCCTTTTCCAGGCTAGATATCCTGCTCAAAGGACACAAACAGATCATTATTACCCCAGATAACCCAAGCTGCTAGAAGGTTATTAGTCTCACGACATATTTCACCGGGTACCTATTTTCTGCTGGGTGAACGGAGTTTGAAGAAACTCACTTGCCTAGGGTGAGACCACACGTATCACACGTGCCTTGTTGTGGGACAGGACTGAAGTCCTAGAAACCCATCAGGAGTGAAGCCGTCACAAACGGTCACCCATCTTCGTGCCCTACGTTGCTTAAATTCAACTGATTTGTGACCTGAGCTCTATGCACAGGACCGCACACATATCTCCCTAATATTTGCATTCACGGTTTCGTGTCACAATGTACCTCTAAAATACACGTGCTTCTTAGGGATCTATAATGACTTGCTTCTTCTGACATGAATCAATTAGAGAACGTTGAAAGTTTCAGAACAGATCACCTGTCCACACCTAAAAAAGCCATTTTGGTTTATTGCATATATTGTTTATTGTCTGTCCTCTACAGAAAGTAAAAAGACAAAACATGTGTAACATATGCACGCTACACATAAAGGTATATCTTCCCCAAATGAACTGACTGATTGATCATTAAAAGCTGAACAGGTGTTCGGGCAACAAGGCCCATGTACACATTGTCCATCATAAAGGTTTGCTAAGTTTCTAAAAGTTTGTAAGTAGCAAAGCTGCCATAAGCTTTAATATAAGCAATAGTTACATTTTTTAACTTTATGGCGAACGATATTTCTTGAACACAATAGTCCAGCCAATAACAAGTCAATATTGAGAGCTGTGAGAGATTCCACCATTAATCGCCTTACGTTGATTTACATGTTTTTACAATGCAGTATATAATGAGCCACGTTATCTAGCCGATGACACACTGTCAACATCGCAGATATATCTTTATTAATAATACTGAGACATGCACCAAGACCAGAATGCCCAAGACGAAGTCTGGTTAAGTGTAAATGAGTTACTTTTAGAAATGAGGCCCATCTCCATTGCCATTTTGTTTGAGCATGGATCTTACTGACGGTGAATAATTCTACAGGAGAAGGAATTGTCCCATACTGATCCATTAAAGTCTAATGCAACTTTTGCCAATTTATCAGCTTTCTCATTTCCAAGTAGTCCAACATGAGCATGTAGGTATCCATGATAATTCAATATCTAAAAGATTTCTACTTAGGTCATGGACTCATGGAAAAGGTCGAGTGATGAAGCGTTGCTCTGGGGTTTTAATGCATTCTGTGTATTAGGGTGTACATGCATGGTGTCTTCGGTGATTTACATGCATTCTGTATATGGGTGTTTACATGCATTCTGTATAGGGATGTTTACATGCATGCTGTATACAGGAATCTACATCTATGCTATACTAGCCACATAAAGAAAATATTATCCCAGTTGATAAGTACGATAACAATGTCAAAGGTACATATAAACTTTAATGGAGGGATCATGAGACCATAACAAGTCGGGGGAATTCAATTGAAAAGTCAATCACAATGACTTGAGTCCACAAGCGGGACAGGGGACAAACGACCATGTCACAAGCTCAATAACGGGTATGTCCACCATCGGCATTGAGAACAGCTGTGCATCGACAACGCATAGAGCCTATCAAACGTGCAAGGAAGGCTTGTGGGATGTCACGCCAGATTCTCTCAAGTTCTGTTGCAAGGTCAAGGACGTTATCTAGCGGATGAGGACGACGGCGTAGACGTCGATCCATCTCGTCCCAAACATGCTCTATCGGGAAGAGATCCGATGAACTTGCAGGCCAAGGCAGTAAGTCAATGTTGTGGTGTTGCAAGAAATCTATAGCAACCCTTGCCGTATGAAGGCATTGTCCTGTTGGAATGTTAACCAAGGGCCATGACGTTGCAGAAAAGGAATTGCCACAGGTCGAAGAATCTGATCCCTGTAGCCCACACCAGTTAAGTTGCCCTGAACAGGCACCAAAGGAGTTCTTTGGCGTGCTGTTATTCCACCCCAAATCATCACTGAACCACCACCAAAGCGATTCCTCTCCAAGACACAGGCTGTGCATAACGTTCTCCCACGCGTCTATAGGCACGTTGACGTCCATCACTATGGGAAATGTCTAACCTGGACTCATCTGTAAAAACAACATTTCTCCACCAAAACAAGGGTCTGCGGACATGATTTCGGCACCACATTCGGCGAGCTTGTCGATGACGTTCTGTCAGGATAGGCCGTATGGCGGGACGTCGTGGTCTGATCCCGTGATGACGTAAACGTTGTCGAACTGTGTTGGGGTGGATACGGCGAAGTCCTGGGATGGTTCGGGCAGTCATCGCTGCAGTCTGAAACCTGTGGCGAAGATGTGTCACCCTTATCCATCTGTCCTGTCTTGGCGTTGTTGCACGTGGACGTCCACAACGTGGCCGATCGATGACGTCATTTGTGTTCTGGTAGCGTCTCACCAGTGCAGAAATAATGTTCCGGTGGCAGTGGAAATGTGCCGCCACTTGTCGTTGAGACATTCCCCCACGGACCATCCCAATGGCCTCATGACGTTGTTCAGACGTGAGCCTTGGCATGCTATGCGTTTCAATAGCCGTTGAATTTTTTGAACGATCGCAGGGGTTGAGCTTTCCAAAGTGACAGTATTGTGTGGCATTCATTTGCTGTTTCTCTTTCCCGGAATGCACGTGCAACAATGTATTGCACGTCGCAAGGACGAACCCACTGCCGTCACGGAACGTGGCACGTTTATGCATGTGTTGAATACATGTCACTCATCTCTGAGTTTAAATCCTTATGTGTCTACACAGGTTTGATAAATTTAGATTTGTAATTTTTGTTTGCAGTTTCTTTATGTGCCTAGTATATATACGGTGATTTATTTGCATGCTGTTAAAGGCATTTACATGCATGTTGTGTAGTCATATTTACATGGGTGCTGTGTATTGTGATTTACATGCATGCTATATGACACTCACTGTCCGCGTCCCACATGCAATACCTCGAGTTACCTTTGATAACAAGTGTTGTGTCGCCCCTCCCGTCACAGATGATTTATGGTGTGAAATAATTATCATTTTCAAAATATATTGCCGAACCAACTACGTGCACTGATGGTGTGAGAGCAAACGTGTTATTAGATATCGAAGGCTATGGAGAAATTTATAGACCCTTGAGTCTTCATGTTTTACTTTGTGGAGTAATAATAGTATTCAAAGGGTATGACTGACCACACTCAAGCCTATTTCAGAGTATTATCCCTGACACGTTGAAATAAGAATACTTACTTTTGTCATCCTACTTTGCTAAATGTGACTTGGTGACTCACGGATATGAGTGAATGAATGGGTTTTAGTTTTACGCCGCTTTTAGCAATATTCCAGCAACATCACGGCGGGGGACACCTCAGGTTCACATGCTATACCCATGTGGAGAATCAAACTGGGGTCTTCGGCGTGACGAGCGAACGCTTTAACCACTCAGCTACCCCACCTCCGCAACTCACGAACGCTTCTCTGGCATTTGACTTGGTACTTTGTCTTCATGGAATTGAAGCGTATCCTACGTGTTACTTCAGTACCGACAATGTATGCGCACATGGTTGAAAGTAGTGTGTTGCGGCGCACTGCGGTGCATTGAACACCGGTATATCGATGACCCGACTTAGTCTTACAACGGTCACTAAATATCAGTACATCGATAAATTGATACACTCCCGAACATTACTGACGGGTTGCCCCCTCTGCTGTCACTTTTCACAACAGTTGATGTAGAATCAGGTGGCTTAGTTATATAATGGCGGCCTGACAATAATCTAGACATGTCAGTTCGTGGTAGCGACATCAGAGTGTAACTACATATAGGAGAACTGATCCACAGTATAACGCTAAATACTGTCATTAAGGTGTGTACTGTCACTAACGCGGTCTGAGCACTATATACACGTGCTATATATAGTACAAAGGCCCCGTTAGTGACAGCACATACCTTGATGGCAGTTTTTAGCGTTACAAGCCCCCTGTGAACTGATTACTTAATCCATAGCTTCGTCACCTACACTGATGCCTTAATCGGTATCAAGGTCGCCATTGGCGTTTTTTGTGCGTGAAGCAATATTTGTATTCATCGAGCATACATAATTTGTTAGGTTGTGAAGAGATTGGTTGTCTTTAGCGTTTTCTGTTTGTACGAATTTCTTTCACTACACCCGCCATTTTTGCACAATCATCGAACACTTCTTTAAGACTCAAAAGATAAAATAACCTTTTGCCACCTCTCACATGAGACAAGAGACAGTATGATAATTCCTGTCATGTACATCTTAATTTGAAGAACTGCCATCAATAGTGTGATCAAACGACACAGATATCCTATCCAATTAATCACATTACGTTTATTAATATTTCGATTTTACGCTCCCGTACAAAGAAACCTTTATATTTCAATCGGTATTTTTAAATAACACAAACGAAACAATCGTACATTCCACCCTCACCTTGATATGAAGGAATGTGTACAGCTGTTGTGACGTCAGCAATTGATCAAAACTCATTAGACTGTTTTTGTGACATGAAATCCAACAAGTCGATGTCAGAAGTAGTTAATCGATCACTTGACACTGTAATGGATTTTTAGCATATATCATCGATATCAACCCCCCGACCCAAAACCCCTTCTGACTTAAATCTTCCGCGTTGCAATAACTCCAGGAGAGGGGAACCGTTCCCCCGGTAGGACTAGGATTATCCTTTAACTCAATTCGTCAAGCACAGGAGAGGGTATTTCCCTATACTACCGGGAAGTATGGATCATTGGACGCATTCCAGGTGGTTTGTCGAGAATATGCAGGTACGTTTACAAATCTTACTTTTCACATTCATAAAAATACATTTCACATAATTTAAAAAAATATAATCTTTGTAAACTTTGAACATTCTTGAAGAAAATGGGGTCTCGAGTCGCCCAGTGGCAGAAGGTGCCACGTTATGGCGCCAGAAACCTGTGATTGTGGGTTCGCCTCTACTATGTTTCTGGGGTTGGCAGTACCATACCGTCGTCGCTGGTTCCAGGAAAGTTTTAATGAGTGAGTGAGTTTAGTTTTACGCCGCTTTTAGCAATATTCCAGCAATATCATGGCGGGGGACACCAGAAATGGGCTTCACACATTGTACCCATGTGGGGAATCGAACCCGGGTCTTCAGCGTGACGAGCGAACGCTTTAACCACTAGGCCCCGTGAAAGTGTTAAACGCAAGGCACCTCCTTCACTTCGGACTTTACTCCCACAGTAAACACGCCGACACAATTTACTGGAACAGTTCCCGTCACTCTCTGGTTTTCTCACTTATTTAAAAACACTTTACAACCGTTTAAATTGTTTTGATGTCATTGTTCTCTCGCACGAAATCATACCTTTATATGTTGTTTTCCTTATATTCTGTACTGATTTAGTTGAGTGCCTAAGATGGCAGACATGCTGATACACATAGTTAACCATGTGTTATTATATTCGCTGCACGATGTTTGCACCGTATTACCATGTCCCGTAGTGCCATTGTTGTATCAATACCACATCCCTGAGCCATACACGTCTTACTTCAAACGTGTTATGTGTGCCTGAGGACGGTGGCAGAGAAGCTTTTAGAGAGGATGCATGCGGCTTAGTCTCTCGTACAGACCCTGAAACAAGTATATCCAAGAAAGCCCACACAAGTCTAGAAAATGTGGCAAGTCTAGATTTCCTCAGCTTCTGAAAATGAAGAAAGACTCAGGGCTCCTTTTCATTATATATTTTTTTTTTACTATGAACTTTTTTCAGTAAAATATGTTCATTTCAGAGACTAGTTGTTAGTCTACATGCGGCTGTGAAGAGTTCAGTGACTTCGGCAGATACCTAGGATTCTTCTGGTTGGAATCTAAATTCGTTTTTATTATTAATACTATTACAAAAAGCAGGAGATATTCAATAAAGATGTGTCACAAATAGTGACATTTCATATCTTTAATGGAAAAAAATAACAGTGTAACAGGGAGATCTAACTGAGATTGCATTAGTCGTTCAACATCAGATGACTTTTTGAGCCGCATTTTTGGGGCGAACAATATTGAACAAACAGTACGGATAACAACTGCTTTTATTTCGTGAGTGTGACGTTTTGGTACAGATTCTTGTACCGTTGTCATAACTTGTTATGCACGGGTACTGGTAGCATCCTAACCCAGAATAGTTGAGGATACAATCACGGGTACTGGTGACCTATCCAAACCCAGGC